TAAGATCCACATCTACATTCTACACTCCTACTTGCAAACGTAATCATTGTCTATTTGCACCGGTAAGCCGAATGTTAACTTTAGGTAATAAACTTAATAATTTTGATTTTTTTTTACCGAATTCACTTTCAGATTTAAAAAATTGCATGAAAAATAGTTACAATCTTTAGTTATAGTTTCATTATTATCTTAAATACTTATTGTTGTTTTTTTTTCTTTTTTTATATTATTCATCTTTATTATGTATGCAAAATTACTTTATTCATGTATTTTAACTAATTATCTCTGTACTCTATGCCCACAGGGCGTTTATTAAATAAATATTGTAAATATTAATGTTATAAATATTAATATTATAAAACATTTTGAAAATTAGGGATTTTTAAATTTGTAATTTTTTTGGATGTTTTCCACATTTTCGGGGAACGAGGGAATTTGTTTCAATTTTTAAGGGTAATGTCTCCAATTAGATACGACTTGTGATCTTTTGACGTATTTTTGAAAGAAATCGGTCCAGTGAGAGCTGAGAAAAAGGGGCAACAGACACAAAAAAAAAAAGTCATAAAAAAAAAAAAAACACATCATAGTAAAATTAATACCTTCTCTGCTTCGCATCGAAGCTAAAAAATTTCGGACTTTATTTTATCTTCGTGGTGAAAACAGACATCAAAGTTAATAAAAAAAACACAATTTTTGTAAAAAAAATCTTTTTTATATTTTAATATTATAATGCTATAACTTTTTAAAAAATGTATGGATCAATATAATTCTTTTTTTTATAGTTGCATGATGTCTTTACCTATCATTTGGTATATTTTTTTTATAAATCTGACTTTTTACCTGCCTACAGGGGTGGATTCAAGATGACAACTTTTTCACAAAAAATTTACTTTTACAACTTAAATTTTGAAAACGTTTCGGAAAGTCTGACATTTTTATATATATCTTAAATTAAAGCTAATGTAATGTACTTTATTATGCAAAAAAAAAATGTCGAACTTTGTTTTGTCTTCACGGTGAAAATGTCTACCAAATATTATTATTGTGTGAAAATTCTCGATTTTATTTTTTACATTTTTGACTTTATAACTTATAAGTTTAAAAGTGTATGGATCAACATAATTTTTCTATGAGAAATCCTATTTTTTAATAATTCCTTTTTCATTCGACATGCTTTATCTTAATCAGGATATTAATAAGGATCTAGCAGATTATGTAACTTTTGGAATAATCCACCAATTTTTTAAAATTAAACAAAATATTAGCTGTAATTTAGTATATCTAGGAAGAGATACATTATGTTCAAAACTAAGTTATAAAAAAGATTACAAAAAAACTTATAGAAATGCTTTTGCTTTTTAGAGTTCAAGACAATTGATCGTTTATGTTGAGAAAATAATATACAATTTTTAATAAACATTAATATTTGAGAAATTTTCTTAGTTAATTTTGTCATTTAATTATATACAAAACCTTTTAAAGTTTTAATCATAATGTGAACTGCTTGTTATAATTCATATATGTTAAAAAAAAATTTTTAATTTTTTGAAATTTCTATATTTTATTGTCTTACATGACTCAAGTGCAAACTATAAAAAGAAATTGTTGTTACTAGATGCAAATTAATAAAATCCATTAATAATTTGTTCCTTAAATGAAGGATTGAATTTATAAATATGGAAGTCACGTCATAGTTGGACAATAAAAAAATTATAATGATAACTTTTTTATGTATTATGAGCAAAAAAAGATCATAAACTTATTATTTGGGGGCCTTGAGCCTCATCTTAAATTGATTATACTACACAACATCTATACAGGGTGTTCAGTAAGGCAGGAAACGGTTAGTAGGAAACGGTTACTGTTAGGAACAGTAAGTTCCTGACTTACTGAACACCTTGTATACTTTGTTTTTAACAAAATATATTTTAGTGTCATATTTTATTAATATATTATGACAATAATGTCGTATTTATTTTTTGACACATTAATTTTTCGACGCGAGCCGTGTCAACAAGAAAAAAAAAGATTTATTTTTATCTATTAAATACTCACATTGTTTGTAACAGCGGTGAATCCAAAAATGTAAATATATTTTTTAGCAATTAGTTGCTTAAATTTTACTATATAAAATTTTACCTGCAGTTAAAAAAAAAAAAAAAAAACCCAGCACAGGGGGGTCGCGGCACAGTGGTGACGTGGCATAGTTGGATCAAGTATAATGATATCTGATAGTGATTAAAATCACTATCAAAAATAAACGCTTCGATGCAAATCATTAGATAGTGTTTAATTTTTAAAAAAATGGTGTTTTATTCCAAAAGCTACTTGATCTGCTGGTTCCTTATTAATATCTCGATTAAGATAAAGTATGTCGAATGAAAAAGAGTTTATTAAAAAATATTATTTCTCATAAAAAAATTGTGTGGATCCATAAACTTTTCAATAAGTTATAGCATTATAAAGTTAAATATAATATAAATAATAAAATCGAAAATTTTCACACAAAAATAGCATTCGGTAGCCGTTTTCACCATGAAGACAAGTCCAGAGGTCAAATTTTTTTTTTTCAAATTAAAGTATATTACATAAGCTTCAATTTAAGATATATATAAAAGTGTCAGACCTTCCGGAACACTTTCAAAAGTTAAGTTGAAAAAGTTAATTTTTTGTAAAAAAGTTGTCATTTTAAATCTTCCTTTGGGTAGGTGGGAAAGGGTCAGATTTATGAAAAAAGAATATCAAATGATAGGTAAAAACATCAAGCATCTATATAANAAAAAAAAAAAAAAAAAAAAAAAAAAAAACACATCATAGTAAAACCAATACCTTCTCAGCTTCGCATCGAAGCTAAAAAAATTCTTAAAATAGCATATTTTTGAATATGGTAGCCATTTGCGCATAGAAAATAGGTCGTCGGGACAAATTTTTTTTTTCATTTTATAATACATAAAATAAGCTTTAATTTGATGTATGTTTGAAGGACGCAGTATTTCCAGAACATTTTCAAAAATTAAGTTGAAAAAGTTGAACGCCCCCTATATAAGGGGAAATTGTCAAATTTTAATAAAAAGTATGTTTAATAAAAGATGTACTTATAATGTATATAGAATAAAAATTTGTGCTGATATATACATTTTTCAAAAAGTTATAGCATTTTTAAGTTGAAAATTTAAAATTGAAAATTTTAACTCAAAAATAGTGTTTTTTTAACTACGGCAGCCGTTTAAATGTAGAAGAAAAAGTGTCGGGAAACATTTTTTTTTCATTTTACAGTACATAAAAAAAACTTTAATTTGATATATATTTGAAGGACGCAGTATTTCAGGAATATTTTCAAAAATTAAATTGAAAAAGTTAATTTTTGTAAAAAAGTTGCTATTTTAAATCCCCCCCAATGAGCAGGTTAAGAGATAGATTTTCAAAAAAAATATATCAAATGAAACGAAAATATTTAAGGTTTTAGTATAAAAAAAAATTATGTTGATTTGTTGATTTTTCAAAAAATTATGGAAGTTTTAAGAAAAAGAAGTGAAAAATTTGTGAAAATTAACGATTTTTAAATTTGTAATTTTTTTGGATATTTCCCCCATTTCCGAGGAACGACGGAATTAGTTTCAATTTTAATGGTTAATGTCTCTTATTAGATACGATTTGTGATCTTTTGACGTATTTTTGAAAGAAATCGGTTCAGTGAGAACTGAGAAAAAGTGGCAACAGACATAAAAAAAAAAACACATCATAGTAAAATTAATACCTTCTCCGCTTCACATCGAAGCTAAAACACATCATAGTAAAATTAATACCTTCTCCGCTTCACATCGAAGCTAAAATTAAGTCAAATAAATACAAGCTTATCTTTTAGTTAATTCTACATACCCGTTATAAAACATTAGTACAATTTTATCATCTTAATAATCTTAAATTACTATTTATTAAAAGTTATGACATAAAAATAAATTGTTGCATTAAAACACTGTAAATAGATAGTAGTATTAAACAATGAAAACTTAATAATTGATGAAAATATATAACCTTAAGGGATAGTAAATCGACGTCAAATTAGCATTAAACACTAAGTAATTTAAAAGGTTATGTTAAAACTTAGCATAATATCAATCAACAGAAAAGATATTTTTGTTGGTCATATCAAAATAACATTATTGTAATATTGAATTGTATCGGTCACTACACTACGGCGAAGAGTGGCTAGGAAATTAACTTACCAGATGGACTGTGCTATTAATAATATAGTTAAGACCCGATTTGAATCTATTATTATCATCTCTCAATTAGTGTGTCGTATATTATTATTGCTATCTTATATGTTATATCTCGGTCAATATAAAATTAGTTTAAGTTACACCAAAGAAAAATAATGACTTTTGTATTTAAAACAATAAAATAAAAATAGAAATTTAGTCGAAAATCTTTAACTTTAATTAGCTGTAACAAATAAATAGTTGATAAAAAATAAAAAATATTATAAGAGCAAAGTTTTTTGAATTTTTTTTTTTTCAAAAAAAAATTTTAAATTAAAATGGAAGTTAATAAACAATTTTTATTGGCTCAGAAGGAAAAAGGAAGGGTAGGTTGTATGTTAGGTGTCGATAATTTCAATGAAAAGTATGAAATAAATCAAAATATGAAAATTATAGATACAGCCCATAGAAAAAGAAAAGCATATGATNAATATGAAAATTATAGATACAGCCCAAAGAAAAAGAAAAGCATATGATGAAATAAAAATGTTAGGCAATTATAAAAATGTCTTAATTAAAAAAACTAGTACTACCCAACTTAGAGGTAAAAAGAATATTTTAACTGATAAACTGGCCGCTGCATTTGATAAGTGCAAAATTAGCGACAAAGACGCTATTCATATATTAATGGCAACTGCAGAATCATTTAATCTCAATACATCTGAATTAATTATAAATAAGACTGCAATTAATAATTTTCGAAAACGTTTTCATGAAAATAAAATGAAAAAAATTTACAGTCATTTTGATATTGCTCAAGTAGTTCCATATATTATTCATTAGGATGGAAAACTTCTTCCTTCATTATCAGGAAAACAACTAGTTGAAAGGTTACCAATAATTGTGTCATATAATAATGTAGAACAACTACTCGATGTGCCTGAGATTTCTTCTGGTTCGGGGGAATGTCAAGGAGCAGCTGTCTTTACAGCAATTGAAAAATGGGGTTTAACTGAAAAAATAAAATCATTATGTTGTGATATAACAGCTTCTAATACAAGTAGACTTAAAGGTACCTGCATATTATTGGATCAAATGTTGAGACGAAATATTTTGTATTTACCGTGTAGATATCATATTTTTGGAATTGTATTAAAATGTGTTTTGAAATCAAATTTAATTTAATTCATCATCTGCACCAGATGTTCCTATATTCAATAAATTTTAAAAGTCTTGGCAAAATATAAATAAAAAAAATTATTCAAGTGGAATGGATGTTATTGTTAATTTAGAAAATTATTTAGTTTTGATCAATTATAACCTCAAATAAATATCAATCTCGAGATGACTATAAGGAACTTATAGAACTGGTCATAATATTTTTTAGTGAGATATATTTGAATGGGATTTATTTTAAACTTCCTGGTTCAATTTATTGTTTAAAAATATTTTTGTTTAGAGACTAATTTGTATTATCAATCAAAGAATTAAGCAATATTTGTTTGTTGTTTTTTTTAATTATAAGTGTATATATTAAACAATGGTTTAGTTCACCTAATACTATGTTAGCGTCAAATTAAGATTTACTATTTATAATAAATAAGATTGAATATGAAAAAATAGGTATAGATATTTCTAAAGTAGTTTTAAAAAAAATGTCGGTTCACTTATGGTATTTAGTAACCAAAATAGCAGAATTGGCATTTTTTTATCAAAAAATACCAAAATTAAAATGGTAAATTCATTTAATAATCGCGAAGTAGCCTCATGAACGCACAAACGTGTAGTTTTAGAATTCCATGGAATTTATGAATACAATAATACAAATATTGAAGACTTTATTTCAACGGAATCAAAAATTTTTTTTTGAAAAATTTGAAATTGAAACTGATTTTTTAGATTTAGATGCGTTGTTATGGAAAGACAACAATCAATATAGAAAAAGAAAAGAAAATGTAAATTATGTGGCAGAGAGGGATGTGAAGCTCATCGAAGAATATAATAATATTTTAACAAAAGATGAAGCACAAAAACAATATCTACTACAGATTGTTAAATAGTTCTTAGTACCTTATTATATAGGATGGCCCACCCTGATGATTACTGTGTATACATATGATGATAATGTGTTAATTACAAACTTGCATTAATATCATGATAAAAAATTAGATAAGGCAATTATTACTTATCACTCTCATTCAAAAGTATATGTCATTTTCATGGAAAAAGTTACACACTTCCAAATTATATGTAATAAACCAAAAATAAAAAAAAAAGAAAAGAAAAAGAGAAAAAATAGAAAATTAGAGAGAGAATATAAAAAGAAATTAGGGGTGCTTAGTAAATTATTATAATCATTATTTATTATAAGTTTTTGTAATTTTAATGTAGATTTAATTGTCTTCAATTTTATTTAAATTAATTTTCTCATTAATTGTTTCTCTCATTAATTATTAAAATTTCTAAGTGTCATTTAGTTTTAAAGAAAAATATTCTAAGTCCAAATTAATTAAAAAATCGACTAAGTCCCGGAGAGTGAAATCTTGAGTAGAGTGTCGTAGATTTTGTGTATTTTAAAATCGTCAAAAGAACTGGTTTAGATGGGGAAAAATGGCTTTTTATAGTGTGAAGGGGGTAGCCCAGCGATCTCTACCGTGATCCTAGAAGCTGAGGCTTTATATTCTAATTGGTTAATTAAAATGGGGTCTCAGCATGTAGGCGTTACTTAATAATTTCTACAAGAGGGAGATTTTATCGTATAGTAAAGGGTTATTTTGTATTTTAAATAAGAGAACCCTGTTTTGGTGATCTTGTATAATAATAATATGTGACATACATGAACAAATGATAACATCATAATATATATTAATATTATATGTAATAATATAATATTACATATAGTAATCATGAAAAAATAGCGTTTTCTTCTGTTCTTTTCTCAATACGTATTTCAATGTTTAATACCGTAAAATAATACATGAAAATTCAAATTTTCACAAACTTCAAAAAGCTACAGAATATTTACTACTGANCAAAACGCTACAGAATATTTACTACTGAATATTAAGAAGATATTTTTTTACTAAAATTTTTCTTAAATTCTACTCTACAAAATAGCTATCATAGATTTTAGCTTCGATGCGAAGCGGAGAAGGTATTAATTTTACTATGATGTGTTTTTTTTTTTTTTTTTTT